CGAGAATTGTTTACCACCAAAGGACAAGGTAGGATAACGACCAAATCTGGTCCCTTATTTGATGTAAAATCAGAGCACTGGTAAAATTGTGATAGTTTGTTGTTCAGAACTTAAAATGTTGCCTGCTTTAAAATCTGCACTAATTTGGATTCAAGGTTTACATAGAAGCCACTAGAGGGTGCAGAAGTAGGATTTCCCGATTTTCCTCATTTCTTCTTGGTAGAATTTCTTCATATACGAAATACTTTTCTCTCCGAAAAACATAGAGCACAAGTTTGCCTATCTGCGATTTTAAACAATTTGAAATAAGTTGCATCTGATACTAGTTTTTAAAATTTATGAATTTTGTAGATAGGCTGTTGCTCGTGCCCTATGTTTTCCGAAACAAAATGTGCTGTAAAAATGATTAAAAATTACATAAAAATGAGAACAATCGAAAATTGACCTATTTTTCGACCTCTTTGTGACCTCTGTGTATTTCAAAACGTAAAACCAATACTCATTTTGTGGCAGGGATGACTACAGGTTTTTATGGATAAACTTTTGCATCATTCTGAAAGTCCCCCAAAATCAGGAGTCAAAAACCGGTGTTACCCTATCTTGTCCTATACTCGGCATTCAGGGTAATTGAGCAGTGAATGTACATTTTCATGCTAGCACCGACTGCGACACGGGACCTCGGTTTATACAGTCTCATCCGAAGGAACGGTCTCCACGTCCCACATCTGGATTTGACCCATCAACGTAAGGATCAGCTTTTTACATCGCGACTCTAGAGCAGACGCTCTAACCACTGCACCACGCGGGAGGCTATGGAATCGATGAACTAATTTTAATATTTTCCCAAAGTCAAAATTTCACACTTATTTCCTTTATTAATTCCTTCTCAAATATTGAATAACACACGGACATGAAACCTTCAAAATCATTTTAGTTAAAAATATAGGAACCACTTGATATAGCCACCAAATAAATATATTGATATATCATTTGTAAAATTTGAATAATAAATATGAAACATGAAAATAACTATAGATAACTATTATAATTCAAAATTCCATTCCAACAACACAAATCAGGAGTTGAGCAAACATAGACCTCTTAGGCAGGAGGTGAGATCAGCTGGTCCCCGGATAATAAAACAAACTTAGACTTAAGTCAAATCCTGAAAAATGTTTATTTATTATTGAATTGATCTAAAAACTTGCAAATAACAACATGTTAACGAATAAAAAATTAAAAAGACATTTCAATTTTGATCTGTTTGCCTTCTATAAAATATAAGTACAGAATGAAGATTTTGACTTAAGCTTAAGATGTTTCATGCTCTTGGGGGCCAGGTGTTATGTAGGAGTGATAATCCCCTGCCGACTTGTCACACCAGCAGTACCGACCAGACCCAACCTGACACAAAGCAGTCCCAGAGCTGTCCCGGGGACTGCTTTCTGGGACTGCTAAAGCAGTCCCACAGCGGTCCCAGAGCAGTCCCACAGCGGTCCCAGAGCAGTCCCACAGCAGTCCCAGAGCGGTCCCAGCAGTCCCAGCGGTCCCAGAAAGCAGTCCCAGCAGTCCCAGAAAGCAGTCCCAGCAGTCCCAGTGGGCAGGGTTTATTAATTTAATGGGCGGGGCTAACTCAGAAATGAGATTTCCAATAAACAATGGAACTATAAAAGGCAGCTGAATTTTTTTCTGAGCAGTATGCCAGGAATCCTTACAATGCGAAGGTCATTTACATGTATGAGCAGTACCAGCATAGATTTGAAACAATTTGAAATAATATTTATTGAAGGAATAAAGCTTACACACCTACATATTAAATGAATTACACTGAACATGTATATTTAATCACAATTATCTTGGTTTTTTGTGATTGATACTGGCTCCCATATTTATTTTCTATACAGAAAATTAAAATTGAATTAATTATATTTCACCAGAATTAGTTTTAAATAGATCTATTCATTATACATCATGGCCGATTTCCACACTATCGGGATACTCTAAAGGCATTTTTTAAAAAGTATTAGGGCTTTTGAAAAATCCGTTGCTAATTTTGCCAAGTAATATTTTTCAGTATTGATTATTCTTTACTGACATGTTTTAAAATTTAAAAAATATTGTTTTATTTGTAAATTGTATTAGTGACCAGTATAGAATCCTAAGATTATGTTCAACATTTATTAATCTTGAAAGAAATTTATACACATTTCATTTATCTTCTTTATGCATTACATTTTTTACATAGATTGAAATTAGGGTCATTGTTTATTGAGCAGCATGTTCAATGATGTGTAACACTGAAACGTGTACCCAAATAACATGCATGATTGATTTTCTGCCCAAAGGCGATTGAAACCACAGGTGTTTATACCATTTTATTCATACACATTATCGGCCAGGTAAACAAAAGCAAAACAAAAAAGAAATAAATCACAATTCCAGGTATAACAGGTTTTCAACTGTTTATTAATTTTTTTTTAATTTACTCTTTTAATAACTTATTCATAAATTAAAAACTAATTCATCTGTAAATTCCCGTATTATTGTTCACATTGCTTATGTTACGGAAGAATGGTGGCATAATTTTATTTCATGTCATAAAATAAATTGTTAGATTTTTATTTGAGGGTTGTATGTAATACCCTTTTAGCGTGGTGCTTGTAAAACGTGTAGCCTTTTCAATTAAAACATCTTATATCTAAATGTAATGATTTTTTAAATAGTGCCAAATGAAAATTTTGAGTATTTAATTTTAGATTTAATAAGAAAAGAAATCTACATGTACATGTAGATATTTTTTCTCATGAGCCTGTAGTTTTATATACTTTAGAAATAAAAATCTCCTCCTGACTTCCTTATTTAACAACTTTATTTTTAAAAATATTCTATATTACATTTGTGTAAATATACAGTCTCTAAAACTATAAATTAACTATAATACATGTAATCTCCAGTTATTAAAAGATTATAAGAAATCCTTGCGTATTAAACAGTTAAAACTCCTCTCTGCTGCAAGTAAACAAAACAATAGGGAGCCTGCAAATTCAGAATACACAAGGGGGCGGAGCTTTCATGTCACTCAGAACCTTTGTCACACATGAGTGAACAAAGCAGTCCCAGAAAGCAGTCCCAGGGGCAGCTGGGACTGCTGGGACTGCTTTTCATAGCAGTCCCAGAGCAGTCCCATAGCGGTCCCAGAGCAGTCCCACAGCAGTCCCAGAGCAGTCCCACAGCGGTCCCAGAGCAGTCCCAAAGCAGTCCCAGGGACTGCTTTCTGGGACTGCTTTGGTGTCAGGTTGGGTCTGGTCGGTACTGAGCTCCTGTATAATGATCGAGAAAAACTGAAAACTCCGTAGACAATTCAGTGTGTAATTTATGGTCTCAATATTAGTACCGCCTGTTATAAATTACATCCTGACCAAGCGATAGCTTGGATAGGTCGTATGTGCTTCCAAGGTCATTATATCGACAATTGAACTTGCAGAATGTTGATTTTTACCAAGAATGTTGATATTCTTCATTCGTGAACTTCACTGACAATAATTAGCTTGTCTTCCTTTTAGAACTTGTATCTATAAAAGATTTTGTACACGTTTTTTTTTTTTTTTTTTTGGAAAATTAAGAAAAGATGCCAAAGATACAAAAACAGATATTTGTGACGGCAGACGGTATATGCATCTTATTTGAACATTTGGACGGAGTCCTGTTATAATTTGACAATGAACTACTCGTCCACGTAAACCCAAAAAGATATATACAAAATATAAAGTATGTACTTCAGATTCATGATATCGTATATGCACTCTCTATCTTTCATCTTTTTGCCTGCGCTCATTTCTACTTAGTAATTATCTTGTTTAAAAGAACAAAAATTTCATTCATAAAATCAACTATTTATTAAAATTATTCAGAATTTTAAAAGTACAAAACATCTTTGTCAAACGTTTTCATTATCTTCTAAACCCCGCAGGACAAGCTCCTTCCAGAAGTCGGATTTCGTCAATTGCGAAAGTTCCATACGAGATGTACCCTTCAATTGCCTGAAACAATAAATTACATTATTACCATCATTCAGAAATATTTCTAGGAGGTGTTTTATTTAAAAATACCATCGCGTCCATAATTACCAAATGACAGAGAAAAAAGTTGTTCTTTTTAAATCTTAATTCGTGTTATATACTTTATACGATGTATGTGTTACACTGATTATCTATTGCACACTGTTATCATGTTGTAAATTTTGAATTTACTAGGTGTAGGTAAATGCAAAATTTACAACATGTTATGTTGTAAATTTTGCATTTACCTCCCCGTAGTAAATTCAAAATTTACAACATGATACTGTTATTTCTTTGATATAAATTATTTGAATAATATAATTTTTTACAGCCCATGACCTATATAACGTCTCCCTTGAGATAAAGAACTAGGTTTTTACAACTGTACTTTTCAAACTTTGTAATTAACTTTTGAAGAAGTAAATTTCTCTTTTTTTTTCTTTTTTATACAAATTTTCCATCTGAAATTCAGATTCCCAATGATATTTGGATTTTACATTTTTTTTCTTTTACAGATCATCACAGAAGGCAATAACAATAAATTCTTTCGAAAAATTGATGGTTTTGAAAAGGATATCACATAGACAATCGTTTTATTAGATTTATGAAGACGATAATGATTCTTTCAAAATAGCATGATTAAAATTTTGATTTGTATATATGGCGTAAGATTCAAACATATTAAAACTCCAACTAACTCATTATGATTGCATGATAAAATAATTCAACGGTTAATTTTCTGAGTCTTGTTTTTTCTTTCTTAAGAAAAATCGTTGTAAATATACACATCTTTAAAAATACAAATAAGTAGTAAAATTGTTTGCTTACAATATGATCAGAAGAGGTTCCATAAAATGGGATCTCCACAGAGTACCAGTTGCCGTTAGTAGTCTGATTGTATGACCAAAGAAACTGTATTTGTTGGGACATGTTGCGGAAATAAACGCCCACATAGGGATTATAGCCGTTAATATAAAATCCAAAACTGATACAGTACTGTTTATCTGCAATTAATAAAGTAAAATTAAAAAATTAAAAATGATTAGTTCAAAAGCAGGAAGAGGCAATAAACAGGGCAAATAATTGAGTTCTTGATAAATGTTCATTTCATTTTTTAATTATCTGTTTTCTTCCTGGATGACATTTTTAAAGAAATAAGTAGAGATGAGAAAATGGATTTTCAAGGAAAAATTGCAATTTCCGAATGATCCAACAAATCCCTTTCTAACACTAGTGCTTCTTATTCAAGGGCCAAGAGATTCGCAATTTTCAAAAAGGCACCATTTTTTCATCATAACAATATTCTTTATATGTTTGCTTAATACAAACACCTGTTGTTTGTAAAGTAGATAAACAAAATTGGATGTCATATGGAATTTATAAAGACTTACTACTGAGGGTTCCAGATGGGGATTCTAGTATGAAGGAATAGCCAGGTAAAAGATATCCATATCTGGCAGTATTGAGATATCCAGCATACGGTTCCATGCCGGACGATACCTACACAGTACAGTAGCATGATATGCAGGAAAATAAAAAAGATTTTCTAAGAAATGACGACATAAGAGGTTTTAAATGCATAAACTTTAGATGATTAATTTAAAAAATGATTTGAAATTTGCAATCCTAGTTCATTTCTTGTTGAATTTTTAAAAACTTGAGTTTAGGAATTACTGTAAAATCAACATTTTCGAGGGGTCAAATTTTCGTTGTTTTAGGAAAATATAATGATTCATGAGGATTTGATTTCGTGACTGATGAATTGTTCAGTCGTAATATATTTGAAATTGTATTTCGTGGTGGACATAAATTCGCGGGTCTCATCGGCATACCTCGAAAACCACGAAAATACACCCCCATGAAAATTTGTAATTTCACAGTATCAATTTGATTTTTTAAAAATACTTTATATACATTTTAAAAGCCATAGGTGATAGGTCTCTAAAAATCAATAATCTTAAGAAGCAGATGATTACCTGTACTGAGTAAAGTTCTCCGTATTTCACCATCCAGCAATTAGTTGATTCAAAGTTACAAAGTCTGGAGGTACCTGTAGGCGGTGTAACAGTTGTGGTCGTTGTCGTCGTTGTTGTACTGGTTGCAGTGGATGAGGCTAAAATTGAGAGTGTATACATAGGGAACATAACAGAAAATGTAATTTTTTTGTCATTCGATTAAATTCGATTATCGAGTCTCAACCTTGTCTCAATATTTTCTTTATCGACTTTATCATAAATTTTCCCCAAAAATTATATATTATTTTTCTTGAACACGTTTGTAGGCAAAGAATAGAAAATGTCTAAAAAAAAAATTAAAAAAAAAAACTCTCTCTCTATTATTTCACCTAAAATCTTTATCTCGTAAATCTGTCTTTTGAATAAAAAGTTTAAAAGTATAAGCTACAACATAGAATATTACATCTACTTTTTCTGATATTTGTGTTGTTTGTTACTATATACTTACTTTCACAGTTAGGCCCGATCCATCCCGGTGGACAGTCACATGATACACTGTTACCAATTATAGAACAGGTGCCGCCATTTTGGCATGGATTCGGTTGACAACTGAGAACAGGAGTATCGCATGTTGTTCCAGTCCAGCCTGTTGAGCATGTACAATCAAAAGTTGAGCCAACAACGGTGCACGATCCGGAATTCAGACAGGGATTAGGATCGCATGGGTTTGAAGATGTTCCTACAAAAAAGCAAATATTAAATCTGAGTGCAATATTTCGCACTTAATGCTTTTAAAAAATAAAAAAAAAATTGTCAAAAATGATCTGCATGTATATAAATGAAATAGATAGAGAAAACAAACGGTATTCAAGACATGAGACAATACTAAAAAGGAGCAGAGGAAACACAGACCTCAAAACAGGTGTGTATGTTATTTGCTTAAATTTACACTGAGTATAGATATCAAGATTATTATTAAGTATAAAATCATTCTTTATTTCATTCCTTTTCTTTATCTTAAATACATGTACATATATTAGTGTATTTATAATAACCTGAACAGAGTTTGTGTAATACTTTCAATGAAATGTATTGCATGTATAGAACAAATAGAACCTACCTCCTTCAGCTTTCACAGTCAGTTTGAATCTTTGACCCTGTGAGGTTTGGGTGTTTTTATTAAATCGACTGTCAAACTTCAGGAGCATCAGGTTGCTCTCACCATCATTTGTCGTTAAGTAATTTTGACCGCTAACTGTGTTACACTGCCTTAAAAGCAAAAAAAGAAGATAAATAGATAAATAAAATAAAGTAAAATAATATCCAAATCTCCACAACCAGATTATTGAATATGGTTTAGATTATTTATAAAGATAGTTTCAAAAAGTCTGAAGTCAATTCATAAAATGTAAAAATTATTAAATATACTTAAAAATATTTTATAATGTCATACCTGATTCCACTTTGGCCGATCATATTGAACCTAATCTCTAGCCAGTGATAGCACTTCGAATCAAAATTATTCCTTGCTAAATCCAGTTCGTCTATTGTTAGTCTTATATTTGATTCACTTGGCCCCTGGCGAGAAAAAAACCGTCTTTTTATAGTACATTCCAAAATTATGTGACTTAGCAGAAATAAATACGGTAATTTACTTATTTAAAGGATATTTTTCCGGACTCTAATTTTCATACTGTTTTTTTTCATTTTTCTGTTTTCTATAAATCAAAGACTTACTCTGACTAGCCAGACACATTCTTTGTCGGTGCTAACCGCATTCGGGTAACCAGGAGACTCGATGGTCTGGCTTTGACCCGAACTCAGATTAATTACACCACCACATCCTAAACAATGATAGTTTTGTTAAATTTTATTGTTCAACCTTTTTGCTTATTATGGCTGTAGTACTTTTACTTATCATATTTCTGAATGAAAACAGGACTACATTTTTTATTTGATATCGTTTATGATCCATCCTTTTTTATTATTTCGTAGTCTGGAACAACTGAACCATGACAAAATTAATGATCAACCTGTTCTTTTTCAATGCTTGCTTGTTTGTTTTTTCATAGAATTTTCCTGTACAGTGTAGAGATGGAAACCTGTTCGAAGAATTTACCTGTGTCGGTGGTAACCTGTTCACACGTGGTTCCTGTAAGTTCAGAGGGACACAAACATTGGCAGGTATGGGCCACAAAACCCTCATTCTGACAGCTGGGTGGATTTTGACAGGATGCTTTGTATTAAAAAAATATTTCATTTAAGAAATAACTGTCTAATGTTTTTGGTTTCATGATGTGACTAATCGAGTTGATTGCGTGATAATATGCCTAAATGCAAAAGGCATTCATTCATAAAATTACCATGCAATGGAAATTTAAATATTTCA